GTTAACAACTAAGGATTCAATTCTCAGATCGGGTGAATAACACATCACCCTCAACGAGAGACACGACCATTAAATCGCTTTGGTGGAGTTCCTTATTAATTTTAACTAATAATATGGTTATTGTAATTATCTAATTGAAAACGTTCCAGTAATTATTATAGTCTATGTTTTTCTTAAAAAAAAAAAAAAGAATTTGCAAGGTAAGAACTTCCTATTCCACGTTTACGCCTTTTTTTTTTTTTTTTTTAATATGCCAGGTACAGAGAAATCGTCAAATTAACGCTGCAGGTTGTATTAGCAGTGCACTTCTAATCACCAATAATAGTCAAATGCAAATAATTTTAGATTTAAACAAAAAACAAAAGTTCAGTCCTCGGATTGTAGTAACTTATACATGGGACCTTGCTTCGACAAAAAATCGCCAGAGTAAAATGGCCCAGTAAAACTTTGCCTGTATCAAAATTCATTCCATTTCAACTTACAAGACGTAACCCAGGAAATTTTCACCAGATAAAGGACACGCTGAGAATGACCTTACCCAGAAACAAGGGGTAAGAGAAGCTATGGAATCAAACCAGCTAGGGAAGTAGACAAATGTAAGATCCAGTTTTCAACTGTTGTTGGTGTTAGCGTTCCTGTGGGGCCACAAGGTTGTGCTGTTCCCCATCAGTGACACAGACAGGCATGAGAATCTTTAGGCATGCGAGGCACAATGGGTTTAATGATTTGAAGCAGTTAGACCTCAGAGAAGCAGTAGATGTACCTCTTGAAGGACGGATCGAGAGATATTAGAGAGCATGGGTCAATCAATTTTGTCCTTTTCGCATTAAGGACGAAAAAGTAAGCCAAGGCAACTCTCTAAAGTTGTAAGAGAGTATTTCAACCCAGGCACTGTTCTTTGAAATCCTCCAAAACCTCACTCTCTTGGTGTTGGTGGGGTAGAATGAAATCAGGCACCTCCTCAATGTCTCCTGCAGGCTGATGCAGTTGGGACAAATAGATGAATACCAGATGGAAAGCACACAAAATATAGGGTTAAAGATATATTAGTGAAACTTCTAGACTACCTGCAATAGTTGCAAAAGACGCCATAGCAAAAAATCAATTATCATAACCAAGCAAAAGAGCTTGCCTGCCCAAGCACCACAGGAAAGGTACCTAACAAACAATTATGTTATCAGCAGCCCTGCAGACGCCCTCAAAAATTCTAAAGCAATATAAGACAATCATGGATGTTACCACTATAAACATCACAAGATTAAGTTTCATAACCATAATCAGGGACGAGACAATCCTCGCTACGCTAATTATGCAGTTTTCCAGTTCATAACTTCATATTATGCATTATAACAATGTTTGACATTATTACAGTGATCGATAGAGAAAAAAGTCTAGGAATAGTAGCACATTAAAATTACAACTTAATCAAATGTTCCATCAAATATAGAGGTTTTTGAGTTTCAAATCTATAATTATATCTTGGCCCAAAAACAAAAAAATTAAAATTATATCAACAGGAAGAGACAAGGTTTACTAATACCCATCAACCCAATCCACCATCTTAGCAGACAACTGGGCATATTTTCTAAAAAAAAAAATTTTTAAATCATTACTCATTAAATCAGAGAACAGTTTTTCAAGACATACCGCGAGACACGTTCAATAAGATTCTGATTGGAGCATTTCAAGGCACGATTATATACAATCTCGGTCCTTTTGGCAACATCATGCCAACTATAGAGTTTCTTCATCTAATACAAAGGTTAAAATAAAAACTTAGGCCGCCTAGCACAATTCAAGTTTTCAAGAGACTAAGTTAATCAAAATCACTTACACGGTCATGCATAACTTGTGGATCAATCCTAGGCAGGATAGATACTGCTTTCATAATTGCCCGCACCATGTCACGGGGATCTGGTTCAGCAAGTATTATCATGTCATCTGGTAGAACCTATAAAAAAAAGAGAGGAAAATTAGCTACCTAAACTGCTAAAGAAAGAAAGAAATAAGGAAAAACCAAACCTTCTTGTTCAGGGTAGTATAAACACAACAAGGTATATTAGCATTATGTAATCCAGGTAGAAAAAAACATTCCACAATACATACCTCAGGGACACCTCCTACACGTGTACTGACAGTTAATAGTCCACAACTTGCAGCCTCCAATATGGCTATGCAAAATGCTTCTGTTAAAGAACTGTCAAAGGTTATAAGAAGAAAATGAAATCAGCACTGATTCTTACATAACTAAACACCACAATATGATATTGCATAATCAAAGTGTAAATAAAAATGGCATAGGAGTTCTATGGTCATGTATATCATTCCAACAACTTTCTACAAGCACTGGGAGCCCCTCTTAAATATGTTGGTTCTGAATCTGAAGCACAATGAGAACTTGAAAAATTAAAGGCAGCCTCATCATCCATGTCTTAGAAGCTTGCATTGATAAGTTAGTATGTAAAATACTTGGACCATTTGTTAGCTGTTTCACAAGTCAAGACTTAACTCAAATCTCTCTTCTGGTTTTTAAAATTCAGCTCCTTCTGAGCAAAAACAAGTTATTGTTTATGCAACTATCAACCAAGAATTCAATGCATGTTTGGCATCTCCTAGTTCAAGATTTTCAAAATTGCAACCTTTTAGTGTGTGCCTCCTAACCTCCTTTTTGTTGAGATCATCTTATACAAAATATAAAGCTTTATACTTTAAAGATTACTCTTGCTGTCACAGTTATGCTGTTAAAACTCTATCAAATATGAAGACACTATCTGAAAAATAGTATCTTGCAAAGAAGACCAGTCCATCAAACTAAGTCTAAAACAAACAACAGAGAAAGTTCCTTTAAGAATCAGAACTAGATACCAAGAACTAAAACTATTTGAATAAGACAGGTGGTGGAATCAAGAGCTACATACAAGGACTCTTCTTGCAGGGTGCTCCAGGCCAAAGTTTCAACTAATGACTTTTGAGAATCATGAGTATAAAATAGAAATGCAGGATTATATAAGATCATAATTACCTGTTTAAGAATATATGGCCAGAAATCAGCACTGAGCGTACATGGGCATGTGGCACAGCACCCAGCATCTCAACTCGATCTTGGAGAGAATGCTTTTCTCTCATCTCCTCCAACCGCACCCTTTTTGGTCCATCTCCTCCAACAATGAAACGGATCTTCACAAGCATAGACAAGATGATCAAAAGGAAAATAAGTTGGAGGAGGCCAAAAATTACTATGAAGATTTACTTCCAACCAAAAATTGAGGTATAAGGTTCATACAAGTGGGGCTTTACAACAAATAAAAAAATACAACCCAGATGTCTACACATACTCATATCATGCATCTTCACTTCAAGAAGTAACCTTTTAGCCAAATTTTCCATCAGTTATGAAAAACAAAGCATGCAAAGTCACTTGTTTTACAGTGACTTGTCACTTGACACTGACACTAGTACAAAACTAATTTCATTTTCCAGACATCTCCAATTAATGAGGAAGTTTCAACTTAAGATGCTCTTCTTCTGACTTCTGGGTTAATTACTTAGTTCTTAGTATATCAAATTCAAAACCTGACAAGCAAATGCCATGCTCTAAGTAACTCACATTGGGATGCAAGCGGCAAACTTCTGGAATGACTTCCACAAGCAAATCTGCACCCTTCCGATAAACCAACCTACTTATCACAACAATAACAATGTCATTACTGCTAGGTCTCTCTGGAGCAGGCTTGAACATAGCAGCGTCCACAGCATTAGGTATTACAAATACCTTTTCAGGCAGCAGACCTGAACGTAGCACTGTATTTTCCTTACTTGTGTGGGACACACAAATGGCCTGGCTTACATCTGCTAAAGTAAACTGCAGGACCTTATTCATGTGGATGCTACCCACATCAGCAAAACCATAGAGTGAATGATCAGTAAATACAACTTTGTATCCCATAGTGCGAGCGTGCATCAAAGCCTCATGGCAAAGAGTTGAAAAGGCCTGATGGCCATGCACCAGTGATATCCTTTCCCTGATAAGGATAGTCCTAATTATTGGAAGTGTTCCATAAAAAGTTGGTAAAGTATTCTGCATAAGAAATGGCCGCCATGGTACATAGTAAACTTTCAAGCCACCTGTCATGTATCTCACCCCTGATCGATTTCCATAAGCATGAGTCATGACTACCACCTAAAAAACAGAAAAGATAATTAATTTAATAGAAAATAAATGTGAGACTTGGTGCACATATCAGATTCACGTAGCAACAAGGCAGGAAAAAATGGCTTGTCGAAAAGGAACATAAAGAGTCACAGATTTTAATCAGAAAATTTGTTACTTTTCTCGTATTTTTGAGCTTAAAGAAAAGAAAATTCATAAATCGAAGACAGATTTTATAGAATTTATCCCCAATTTCTTCAAATTTTGTTACAATCCTCAAAGAAACAGCAGGATTAAAATGATCTTTTCAGTTCCTATGTCGTTAGGATTGTGAAAGAGAATGCAGAGCAAACAAGACATGCAACCTACAAAGTTACTAACAAGATCTGAGTTCTGACCTTGTGACCGAGCTTAAGCAGGCATTGTGATAGGTAATAAATGTGATTCTCCACACCACCAAAGTTGGGGTAGAAAAAATCAGAAACCATCAAAACTCTATGCTTCTGTTGAGCCATTGCAGCGAATCAAACCCCTGTGATAATATTATCTTCTAACCTGTGAATGAAATTAGAATCATCGATGACACATAAACGCGACGAACTATCAGTAGTTAAATCGTAAGAGCAGTGAAAATTATGCAGTTTAAACAAAATTCGTATCAGACTGTCCGGATCTTATAGATCACTACGGAGAGCTAGCAACGCGAAGAAGCACGACCTTCTTAATTGGGATGATCAAGGGGTTAGTGAAAAGGAAATTCGATTTCGATTGTTAACCAAATGCAACAAATAAATATGAGAGCCGGTCTGTACCTTATCTTGAGGTGCGAAAATGGCAGCGGCGACACAGTGCGATTAGACACCGGAGGGTGATGGGTGTTGGCAGTACAGCGGCGTAGGAGGCAGAGAATGAGAAGGAGTCACATGGCTACTGAAATCGACCTGAAGAGAATGAATATTTCATAGTATTTTCATAGGAAAAGTGAAAATCAGTAGTCCTAGGATTTTCATGAAATTATGTAAATAACACTAATGTATCTGTAAAATTATTATTATTATTATTGTTATTTTTATTTTGATATGCAATAATTTTTCATTTTTTATTTTATTTTATCCTATGTTATGTTATGCGACTCATGACATGAATTTAAGATTTTTTATTTATAACAGAAAAAAATAAATATTGATATATTTAAGTTGTTGATGTAAAATTATTTTTAAATAATGTTAATAAATCTTTTGTGTGTTAATAAGTTATTTTGATTGTTGTATGAAATTGTTTAAAATAGATCTTTTGTGCATTAATTTGAATATTATAATTTTTTTAATATCTTTAAATAAAATTAAAAATTAAGACATTTTCTCGATTCAATATTAAATTTTTTTATAAAATTGTTTAAATATTTTAATAATTTTTAATAGTAATTTATTAAAAATATTATTTCATTAATAAATTTTTAGGTATTTTAATCTTTGACATTTTAAGGGTCAAAATTTTCTTTCTCAATCTCTTTATGCATTATCCACATGAAAGGAATGATGCTTGTTTGATGCTTGTTTGTCTTACATATTTTCTTTTGTGCTAGAAAACTACTTCACAAGAGGTGGAATTGGAGTTGCTTTTTTTTTTTTTTGGGTTGTATCTGTGAATTGGACTGGCTTTGGCTATGCAGACGGTAACCTAGTATTACCATTTTTCCTTGATATCTGAATCACAGAACCTAAGGGAACGGCAATTCCAAGATTCTTTGGTTTTTTTAATTTTATGCCTTTCTTTCTCCTGTCGACGCTGGTGCTCCCCTGTTGTGTGCGGGGCCGGGATCACAGTCTACAGCCCTATGAAATATTATAGATGACTGAGGCAAGAAAACATTTAGGTGTTGCTGGACTTGATGGGCTTGGTCATGCTGCTGTAAAAATTGGGAAAACCTTTGGGTTGAAGGTTACTGTCATTAGCATCTCACCAAAGAGAGTGAAGAAGCAATTCATAGACTTGGTCCTAACTCTTTTCCTTGTTACCAGTGACCCTGCTAAAATGGAGGTACTCTTAATCCATCGTGTCAATCTTAATCCATGAGTTTGACTTAGTTAACGACGATTCATAACTGAAACAAGTTGGATTTAAACCGCTCTAAGTGTCTATTTCCAGTCATTTTGGACCCAAGCCTAGACTTTGGTCACTGCTCAGTAGTCTCACAGGTTTGGATAATTTAGTTGTTGCAAACAAGATAAATATTTTTTATAATAAATTTTTAACGTGTCTATACTGGTGATCTAGTTTATACTCAGTTATTTTCCACTGAAGATGCTATAACCATCATGTCACTCGAGAATAGTATTATTCTTGAAGACTCACTGAGTACGTGTAGGATTCTTTTGAAGAAAATGGAAGAGAGAGGAGGGAAAATATCTCTTTATTTTCTCTGTTTTTATTCCGATGAATAAAGAAATTAAAAGTAAAGAATTTCTCTTCCTTTTCTCTAATTTTTTTTTTTATAATTAAATTAAAAAAAATTTTCATTTCTTTCAGTCTCTTCCCTATGATCAAACATACCTTTGAATAATTGTTGTGACTTGGAAATGAAACCATTACAGGACAGGAAAAGAAATCATGGCCCGTCATCAACGGGCAGGAAAAGGAACAAAAATACAAATTCATTCCAGTGCGTATGCATTGGGAAACGACTTTTAATTGATGAGACTTTGAACATAATTGCAAATTGTGAAGTTATTAATATCTTGACTCTTGACTGATCCTTCTCTCCTCATGTATTATCAAACTATAAAATTATACTTTGTCCAAAATGGTTGTTCGCTTTAACTAAATTTAAGTAACACTACTTAACAAAAGATCAACATTTGATGAGGCCATTTGGCTTTTTCCTAATTTCATTTTAGGGTGAGATTGTTTATCTAATTAATTTACATGTTCATTTTACAAGGTTCTATGTACACCACAGTCAATCAAATATCAATTATAACCTGAATTTAAATCCTAGGTACCACGATCATCTAGTTGTTGTCTTACGCTGCCATAAAGCATCCATACATTTCACCTAATCCAACCTTTTTTTCATTTCTTTAACCACTTATAAAAAATTTACTCATACGTATAATCCTCACAAAATAAGAAATCAGATGCAAAGGCAAAAGGCAGAAGGAAAAATACAAATGAAACATGGTGATAGCGGTTTGCCTAATAGGTTCCAAAAAATTTGTTTGGTTCACTGATGGGTAACATATCACCTAATCAATTTAACTTTCTAGCTTCACCTAATTGAAGCCAAAAGTTATAAAATGGACCTGTCTGGCTATCAATGGGTCTTCATTTGTAGAAAGGAACCTTTCCTATGAGATTCGGTAAGATCTTGTTGTTGGCTGCATTTTCTTAAGATTTCTTGCTTACAGGGAGGAAGCTTGTTAGCGGAAGTGACATTGGACTGATGAAGAGATTAATTGATGTCACGAACTCCCTGTCTCAGTAGTTTCCTTCACCAATTAATCACCATGCTTAGCCTGCTTGATTTCGCGTCCAGACATAAGAATTACATTAAAAAGACTATGCTATGGCTTATTTTATTGAAGTTTATGCATCAGCAGGGGAACTAGTGGAATTTTAATGGCTTGTACTTATAATGTCCTGCTGACTCTTGGCCTTCGAGTTGTTTTAAGCTGTTGGAGTTTAATTAACCTAATGCTGCTTCCATAAAAAAAATGTGGTATTGGATTTTGGTTTTCTAACCCATTCTCAGAGATATACTTCCTGCCTAGTGGGGTGGTTAGAACCCGTTGCATTATGGTTAAAGAATAGTATTATTCTTGAAGACTCACTGAGGGTAGGTTTCTTTTGAAGGAAGTGGAAGAGAGAAGGGGGAAAATATCTCTTTATTTTCTCTGCTTTTATTCCGATAAATATAGAAATTAAAAAAAAAAAAAGAATTTCTCTTCCCTTTCTCTAATTTTTTTATAATTAAATAAAAAAAATTTCATCTCTTTCACTCTCTCCTATATAATCAAACATACCTTTCAATCACTGTTGTGACTTGGAAATGAAATCATTACAGGACAGGAAAAGAAATCATGGTCAACTGAAAAAGGTTCAAGAATAGTATTAATCCCTAATACAATCCTTTTGAAATCCCGTCATCAACGGGCAAAGAAATGAACAAAAATAGAAATTCATTCCAGTGCGTATGTATTGGGAAACGACTTTGAAGTCGTGAAGACTTTGAACATAATTGCAAATTGTGAAGTCATTAATGTCTTCACTCTTGACTGATTCTTCTCTCTTCTCATGTATTAGGGGTGGCCACATTTTGAGTATTATGAAAAGGGTTTTTCTATTTTGTACTTTAACAACATAAGATAAAAAATTATTATTAAATAATTATTACAATTTTTTTAAAAGAGTAAAATTTTATATAAGAAAAGAATTTTTTATTTTTAATTTAAAATTAACCAATCAAAATCTAATACATGATATTTATAATTAAAATAAAAAATTAATTTTTATCATTTTCAAGATAAAAAGTGACAATTATTACATAATTAATGCTTCTTAGGACACAAGATAAATTAATCCTTATCAAAATTATCAAAATTTTAAATTTTAGGTTAGATATTTTGAACATCTGGATAAATTCAGATAAAATTAAAATAATTAAAATCAATTTTGATTTGAATATAGTTATTGATTTATATTCAAAATTATTATATGAGCCATTAAATTATCTAAAATTATCTAAAAAATTTTAGCATAAATTTATTTTATTTTTTTAATTTTTCTGCTATATAAAAAAAATTTTTGGACAATACTTTTTTTGTTAAATTTATATATAAGAGTATGAAGAAAAAGATTAGAACAATCAAAATTAAAAAAAAAAAGTTTAATGACAAAAAGTGAAGAATATTAGTATATTTTAATTATTTTAATTAATTAACCAAATTATGAAAATAATATTATATAACTAAAATTATAATCATATTAAAATTTGGTACAGATTAAATATAAAAATCTTGTCCAAAATTATTTCCAATAACCAAAGATTTAATTAGTACGGTTTAGACAATCTAAACTAAATGTCCATCCCTATATATTACCAAGAATTTCTATAAAAAAACAAGCCATCTAGTGTTGATTTTTCATATAATTTTTAATATACATATACTTGTCTTTAATTAATCAAAGAAATGTGCCTTTCAAAAAAAAAAATTAATCAAAGAAATGTGCATATATATACGGTATAGAGAAATTATATGTGCACTCTTCAAAGTTACACACTTAATTACACATTGACGATTTCCATTAATGTGCTGTTAAAATTGATGATTTCCGTTACTTATACATTTAAAACTGACAATTTTCATTAATTTTATTGTTAAAACTAACGATTTTTGTCAATTTTAACGACACATTAACAAAAACTGTCAATGTAACAAAATATGTAACTTTTGGAAAGTGCATATATCAATGTCCATACAATATATTAATATGCTTCACCAACGATATATATACCTCTTCCACCTTATATCAACAATGCAAAGCAAATTCGGCCATCTCCTCTTGGGCTCTGTTTTTCATGGCTTCTTTTATTTTCTTGCTACTGTTTTGTTTGAGCCTAATTGCTCAATTCTCACCATACCAAACCGCTGCTTCCGGAGCAATTGACCCCACGAAGGGATTCCTTTCCCTTCCTCTAAATCAATCCAATTTTGTTATTCAAAAACCCTATGACATACCCGTAGATCAAAGATACAAATTCAGCGAAGGAGTCCACAAGCTCTGGGTCTATTCCAATGACAAGCCCCACTCCCCAGATAGCCAAACTAAACCCCGAACTGAGATCCGTATTCATGTAAGTTAGAATCCACTTACACATGCATAACATTTTATATAATTAATTCGAATTGTGTTTTTCCAATGTTTTCCTACCAGGGATACGATTATTCCACCGGTGTTTGGCAATTCGAAGGATACGGGTATGTACCGTACGGGACGTCCGGCGTGTGCATCATGCAGGTGTTTGGTTTAGGCCCGGACAAGGGCGCCCCCACCGTGATGCTCAAGGTCTACAACGGCTCGCTCTCTTTCTACAGGAATCAGGCCCAACTGGTTCCGTACATCTACGATCGGTGGTTCCGGCTCAACGTAATTCACGACGTGGATGCTTCCAAGGTCCAGGTGTTCATCGACGGTGTTCTCAAGTACGATAAGCCGACGAGCGTAGCTGGAGTTTCCCAATATTATTTCAAGTGCGGAGTCTATGCACAAGAGGACGATTCGGATTACATGGAATCCCGTTGGAAGGACATCAAGATCCTCAAAAAATGAGATCAGAATCGATCATATCCATCATGATTATAGTGCAATCAAGTATGGGTTTGTTTCCCTTCTATCCTTGTTCACAGAATATTAAATAATAATTGTGGTGTTTTTATTTTAAAAAAGTAAAATTTTAAATTAAAAAATA